CACTGTAACCAGTCCACTCAGTCTCTCTGTCCCACTGTAACCAGTCCTAACTTTCAAAGTCCTTCGCTCGCTCCCGATCTGTGCCCTTTGAATGCGTTTACCGTGAATGTCAGCATATAGGTGCACTAACATGTAAGTGTCTGCTGAGTTGACCGCAGTCTCACCCACTGTAACCAGTCCACTCAGTCTCTCTGTAGATATACAGGATATACATTTAAAAGCAGCTGATTTACACTCGTAGTGCATCTGATAAACAATACGTCAGAATGAGTTATTAGGCTCGTTGGAGATGAGCTGCTTCTCACCTGGAAAGTGGATGAGGTCAGGCGGCAGCAGCAGGGGGCGTTGACAAAAAACTGTGTTCAAGTGGGACAGTTTTGAGCCGCCTTCAAAGAGTAAACGGGAAGTCAAAAAAACCGTGACTTCCTGTTAGATCCGATCTGTAGGCTACTTGTAGTTTACAGACCTCGTTCAGATTTATTCATGTGTGTTTATAAATATATAGTTATGTGGAAATGTGCGTGTATCTGCATTGTATGTTATCTTTTGTTCTTTTTATGTCCGCCTGTTAAACACTTTGCTGCTCGCTTTGATATGTTTTATATTAATAAGCTTTATTATTATTATTATTATCAATCACACAAGACATGTTTTTAGATTAAACCTTTGTTTCTCAACATGAGACTAACAGCCAGCAATCGAGCATTAAATATTACAAATACACAGAAAATAGGACTTTCTACTAAACGTGGTGAGTGTTGTCAAATCTAAGAGCCAATCAGCTCTTTGATCTGGCGACAGCCAGGCTTTTCCCATCATGCTTTGGGTCTTGCAGTCTGGTGGAGAGCAGCTGCGGCGCCTGGCTCTAAATAACTGCGGCCGCCTCGATCTCATGAGGTTATCGTTGACCACGTGTTTATGACGTCAGAGCAAGTCGGGATCGAGTCGGACACAAATCTACCCAGCATGCATTGTGAGGTGATCGGCGGTGATTGATTCTGATCAGGACTGGCTCATCTGGAGTGAACCTATTGTTGAGTGTATCGTTGGAGGAGTCGCAACAGACAGAGAGTGTAATTTAGCGAGCAAAGAAAATTCACTAAAGGTAATTAAATAAAGATATGAACACTGGAAGACCAGCCGGACACCACAATACAACAATCTAAAGACGGTTTCAGTTAGAGTGCTTGGCTAAGTGCATGTAGTGACATCAATGCTGGATTTAGTTTTCTCCGCCTCCTTTCTCAAACGATTCATCATTATTACTATTACTTCGAAACAATTCTGTTTCTCGTGGGCAAAAAAGACTCAAAGTGAATCTTCACTCATGCCCTGTAAATGAAACAAAGGTATTCAATTGGGAAGGGTCATCTTACAAATGTACTTGAGGTCATGCATTGAGGATATGAAAAATCTAAAACTGCTGCAGCCGGTAGCTCCCATGAATTTTGCTACATTGTTGTCTCTATTGTTTTTGATTGCCCTCCCGTCCACCATTCGGCGAATTATCGTTCATGTGGGAATCAACGATACAGCCCTCCACCAGTCTGAGTTGACCAAGATTGATTTTAAAAATATTCTACACTTTTTAAACAGCTGTGGACTGTCTGCTTTTATCAGTGGTCCAACTCCAACACTCGGCCGTGGATCACAGCGGTTCAGCAGAGTCCTCAGCCTCCACACTTGGCTCCAGGCCGCCTGCAGGATCAACAACGTGAGCTTCATTGACAATTTTAACCTGTTTTGGGACCGCTCTTCCTCTTTTAAGAACGATGGTATTCATTTTAACAAGCTGGGTAGCCGCCTGCTAGCGGCTAATTTACAGCATGCTGTACACTCTTGTCCACATGACTGACTATTTACTTTCCACATACACACGCCCCTTCTTCTTCTACGCTGCCACCTCTGAGCACAGTTTCCCGTGACTGCTCCCCCTCCTGGCCTTCCCTGTCATCAACCCCTTCAGCTGTAGCTCTCCCCATTCAGACTATTGTGACAGAGAGGCTGCCCCGTTCACACCGTATTCACAAAGCCATAAACAAAAACAACCTCAGCTACATCCCTCCCAGTGATGTTCATATCGGCTCCCAGCACAAGTTCATCATCTACAACCCCACTTCTGTCAATTCCATCCCATCTCTGTGGACTCAGCATCGGCGTACCACCACTCCCTCATTACGTCATCATAACAAACAACACGTGAATGCAGCCAACCTCAGAACCCTCCCCAAAACCTCACAACCAACCACAAAACACTCCATGAAGCTTGCTCTGTTCAACACTCGGTCACTAAGCAACAAAGGCCCAATCATCAATGAATTCATCACTGACAACAACCTTGATATCCTCTGTCTCACTGAAACTTGGCAAAAACACCTGGATTACTACGCACTCAATCAAACCACCCCAACTGGATATCATTACCTGGATAAACCACGCCCTGATGGCCGCGGTGGAGGAATTGCCGCTCTTCACCGCCAACATATCAAGACCAGACTCCGCCTCATGAAATCCCGGAAACACAGACTAGAGCGACTCTCCAAAAAAACCGGCCTCACAGTTCACACCCTGGCATACAAGGAACACATACAGCAATACAAACTGGCTCTAAACTCTGCTCGCTCCACCTACTACTCTGGCATCATCCGCAGAGAAATGCAACTCCTTTCTGACGTTCTACAAAGCTAAAATCGACACCATCTACAACCAACTGGCCACTTCCAGCCCCGCTTTGTCCAACCCTGTATCTGCAAATCCTCCACTAACTGACCGGTCACTCTTCCGATTCTCTCTCATCTCCCCCTCAGATCTCAATAAATCACTCTCTGGCATGAAGACTGTGACCTCGACCCTCTCCCTTCCACTTTAGTTATGGCCTGTCTCCCGGCCCTCCGCCCGCACCTCCTCTCTGTCATCAACTCCTCCCTGTCTACTGGCTCCGTCCCTCCCGCCCTCAAACTCGCCTCAGTCACACCCATCCTCAAAAAACCTGGCCTTGACCACGACATCCACAACAACTACAGACCCATCTCCAATCTCCCTTTTCTGTCTAAAATACTGGAACGCACTGTTGCCCATCAACTGAAAACCCACCTGGACTCAAACCAACTGTATGAACCATTTCAATCCGGATTCAGATCTCATCACAGCACAGAAACTGCCCTCATCAAAGTCACCAACGACCTCCTCCTCTCCTCTGATGAACACTCCCTCAACATCCTGATACTGCTCGACCTCAGCGCAGCCTTCGACACCATCAACCACTACATCCTCCTTTCACGTCTCGAGTCCTCCCTCCACATCACTGGCACAGCCCTCTCCTGGTTTAAATCATACCTCTCCGACCGTGAACAGTTCATTAGCATCAACAAATTCAAGTCTGACACAGCCCCAGTCTCTCAAGGTGTCCCCCAAGGTTCAGTACTCGGTCCCCTCCCCTTCATCCTCTACCTGCTCCCCCTTGGTGACATCATACGCCACCATGGTCTCCAGTACCACTGCTATGCTGATGACACCCAGCTCTACATCTCCACCAAATCCATCACCCCCACCATCCACTCCACCATCACCAACTGCCTCACAGATATAAAAACCTGGATGCAAGCCAACTTCCTCAAACTCAACACCGACAAATCTGAAGTCCTCATCATCGGCCCCAAATCATTAAACAATTCCCACCACAACTTCTCCCTCTGCATCGATGGCACCACTGTTCCTGCCTCCACACATGTCCATAACCTCGGGATCATTTTCGATCAAACTCTCTCATATGAACGCCACGTCAATCACATCACAAAAACCGCCTTCTTTCATCTCAAAAACATTGCCCGTCTCCGTCCCTCCCTCTCCTCCGCAGCCGCTGAAACACTCATCCACGCCTTCATCACCTCTCGACTGGACAACTGCAACAGCATCCTGTACGGCTCACCCACCAAAATCATCAATAAACTACAATACATCCAGAACTCAGCTGCCCGTCTGCTCTCCCACACCAGAGACCACATCACCCCAGTCCTTCAAAACCTCCACTGGCTCCCCATACAGCAAAGAATCCAGTTCAAGATCCTCCTCATCACTTACAAAGCCCTCCACAACCTCGCCCCTTCATACCTTTCAGACCTCCTGCACCGTCACACTCCCAACCGCAACCTCAGATCCGCCGACGCCAACCTCCTTACCCCCCCTACTCTGTCCAAGCATCGGACCTGGGGGGACAGGGCCTTCTCCGTTGCTGCCCCCTCCCTCTGGAACTCCCTGCCCCAACACCTCAGACATTCTTCGTCACTCGCCACTTTCAAAACTGCACTTAAAACTCACCTATTCAAATCTGCTTTTAACCTCTAAAGTCAGTCATGTATGTTCTCTTTCTTTCTTTTCATGTTTATTTTATTTTATTATAGTTCTTATTATAAATGCTTCTATTGTTTCTGGTTTTAACATGTAAAGTGTCTTTGAGTGCCTTTTAAAGCGCTAAATAAATAAAATGTATTATTATTATTATTATTTTTCTCGTATTCATCACTAATGGCATATGACAGAATACACTCATCAACATGTGAAAAGGAAGCGTGAGGATTAAGAGCAGCGGACCTTGAGATGATCACCGTCCACGGCCGACCACCCAGCCAGACCTGCTGGATTAAACACCACCACACTGCCCCATGGAGGAGAGGGAGGAGAGCTCAGACGGAAGCTAAGCTAACCCAGCTAGGACCTCAGGCTACTCAACTACCCAGCAGGCTGCTGGCTGTCTGATGCCCGGTGACAGAAAAATAAGAAGGATGAAAGCAGCGGGAGGTCGGTGCTGAGTCCACATCTTCACAGAGACCTGGATCCATCGTGGTCCAGGATCAAGCTGAACTTGATTGGACATGAGGACAGAGAGCAGGACTCTGGTGGACCAGAGGAGGAGGACTCTGTGTTTACATCCTGATGCTTGGTGCTCAAACACAGTCACAGTTGATGAACAATGATTTCTTCATGTTGAGTTGTTAATGTGAAGATGTCGGCCATATCATCTGACCAGAGAATTGTTTCTGTTACTGCAGTCTACATTCCTGATGATGAAAATTTAAAAAATGCACTACAGGTACATTTTTGTAGATTTTTGGGCTACATCTGCATTTGGTTGTGCATCCCTGTGTTGCATAGTGACAATAAATGATTCTTGAATCCTCGAATTTTATTAAAAAGCCCCCCTGGAGAAAATGCAGCAGCTGCCCGTGCATGTGAGCGTTAGAAAGGAACAAAACCGAACCTCCCCTTTAAAGGTTCAAATATCATCTAGACATACTGTGGCTGAATGAATATAATCGACAATAAGCTAAATGTGTGTATGTATGTCTATTCTACAGAGGCCCCCTGCAGCACCCACGAAGACTCTCAGCTGCACAATGACACCCCCCCTCACCATCATCGTCCAGCCCCGAGCCCATGGCTACAGCAGAGAGCCCAGTCTCTCTCCTCCTGTCCTCTTTCTCTCAGAGCAGATCGACTGTCTCTTCCATCTTCTCCTAACACCTCCCCACTCTCCTTTTTGGGCCACTCTTCAGAGGCTTACAGCAGAAGCACTGCAGATGCCTTCAAACCAGCTGAATCCTGTACCAAAGGGAACCTGGAGCTCCAGTGTGTCACAGGAGACCACAGGAGGAGAGAGAGCGTCGTCCCTTCATCCCTGCCTCTCCTGGCCCTCTTTCCAATCATTCCTCCCGGCAGCAGCAGCCATGAGTGCTGTGAGTGTTTGGACTGTCATAAAGAGTTCTTAACCTTCTCGAGCCTGACCAAACACAAGCGGCTCCAGTGTGAGTGGAGCGGTAAGAAGTACTTCAGCTGTAAGTACTGTGAGAAGGAGTACGTCAGCCTCGGAGCTCTCAAGATGCACATCAGGACACACACACTGCCCTGTGTGTGTAAACTCTGTGGCAAGGCCTTCTCCAGACCCTGGCTGCTTCAGGGACATATACGAACACACACAGGTCAGTGAAACACACACATTCACACCTTAAAGGTGCAATGTGCACATGCTCACAACAAATAACATTCAAAATTTGACTAAACTGCAAATCTCTGAGAGATGGTCAGGATAACGCTGCTATTATAATCTTCACGTGCGGCATTGGCCTATAGCAGGGGTCACTAATAGGCAGACCGGGGTCTGGATCCGGACCCGCACTTATGACTGATGGATAATTGAGAATTATACATTTGGGCGGAGCGCTTCTATTTGAACCTGCACAGCTTTTCTAGCCTATACGGCACTCTGTCAGCAGTCCAGGAAACACACCGACCAATTACATGCATTGTAAATCATCTCACGTGATGCTACTCAGCCATTCGAATATTTGTATTCCAAAATACATCGTGAGTCGAGGAGATCTAAACACAGACAGCACATGGCGTCTCTAAAAAGTGAAAACAGAGCTTTTAACAGAGAATGGACGGACTCCTATTTGTTCATTCTTCCTGCTGGCGCTAATAAACCACTCTGTCTCATATGTTCAGATATCGTGGCCATTATTGAAAGCACCGATGTGTAACACCACTACCAGACCAAACACACCCAGTCTGAACTGAGGGCAAGATGTTGAGATTTGTAGAGGTTGTTTATTATAAAGTTGACTGAGACAGTTAGGATGTGAAATGGATTTAACAAAAGAGAACAAAAAAAGTTCACTCCAGCCACACTTTACTTTTTTCACCTTCATTCATTTTTCTAAAATCAAGCACTTTCTTCAAAAGTTCTTTTTTGTGTATTTTATTTTTAGATGGAGCCTTTATTTTACTTGAAATGAGAGAACATTTATTTATGTATTTCTATGTATTATTTATAATCCATCCAGTTAAATTTGAAAACTGAGAATAATAATTGTTAAAATATAATTGATGTGTACTTTCTTTATTTGATTTGACAGTTGTTGACTACACAGAGACCTTACTACTACTAGACTTCTTGAATATATATATATATATATATATATATATATACTGTATATACTGTATATTAGTGCTGGGCAAGTTAACACGTTATTATCGCGTTAACGCATTCATTAATTAACGCTGACAATTATATTATCACGCGTTAACGCAGTTTTTTATTTATTTATTATTAAGCGACATTTTTAACACAAGAACCGGGCAGCGAGCGGTGAACAGCTGTGTTCGTGTGGCGTCACTTCCTTCTCCCCCGGGTCCTGAACCCCTCCTACACTCTGTCACCGTCCTTCACTCTTGTCTCACAAACACACATGCAAGCGCGATCTCGTTACAGATCAAAGGTGACTGTTGTGAAGTGGAGCTTCTAGTGAGGATCAAGACACGTCTGGTTTGAACGGAACACTTTACTGTCTGAACTGCAGTATTACAGTGTTACAGTGAACACAACGAGCTCTTGCACCCGACATGTGGTTTTCTACGTATCAACATTATTAGCGTCAAGAACACGTACCATTCTACTTCCTGTCTCTTCAAAGTAAAAGCACTTCCGTTTTCATGCTCTTCACAATAAAAGTAAATGATGCAATCAAACAATTTACAACAGTGACAATATTAAAATACATATTGTCGAGTTTTTAAAGTGTTTTGTTTGTAATATGTATAATAAGCATAATTTAGTTATTGCTACTGAGAATTTAACAAACATAAAAAAAGAAGTTGATATGTTCGCAGTTTTCAAGGTGTATATTTCAAATATCATCTCTTACACACATGAAGATAAAGTTATGAACACCGGCTGAATATCAATTATCAGAATCATTATAACTGTATTTTAACTGCTACTGTGTAAAGGGAATACTGCTGTTAAAAATAACCTTATTTGTTTAAAGTGTTTGCAAACCAAATGTTATTGACCTTTTGTTCATATAGCAGTACTTTTAACATAAAAGTGTGCAATACACTACTTTTGAATTAATTATTGAATTTTGCGCATAACAATGAGATTAATCGCGATTAATCGCAAAAAAATCATGCGATTAAAAATATTAATCGTTGCCCAGCACTAGTATATATATGTCACTAAATAGCGCACGTTAGATATTATTGTAATTTTCCGGACCTTTGAACGAGGAGACTTTCTCAATCTGGACCTTTTGGAATTTGAATTGAAAACCCCTGTTCTATAGTTTACGTTAGCCATCTGTATGTTTACTGTGCCACTAACAAGGGCTGTATGGTCCATGTATGTTTTGGTAGGTTTTATATTTATTAAATCCAAAGTGGCAAAAAACAAGAAAACAACTTGTTTTGGTATGAAGCTCATCGGGACACGCCCCCACTCTTCAGTCTTGAAAAGAAATTCAGAGGATCTTCACCAAGTTTTTGCACACGCGTAGGCTGTGATTACAGCATTTTATGGCGCAGGTGTGTCACGCCGGTTTAAATACGGCGAGTATAAACTAAGCTTAATGATAGCATGAAGGAATTTTAAGGTAGCTAACTAGCCAGTTGCTAAAATGTAACAACTTAATGCATCATCCACACACAGCATAGGAAAGCTCATTGCTATCGCCTGATAAATGACGACTTTGTTCCCATCATTTTCGGTGACTGGTGTTTCATGGTAGCATGGCGGAAATATCAGGCTGACTAAGTAGCAAGACGTCCGCTGTTGCCTTGCTGGGTTCGCCATGATTTGGTGCTGCACTGGTTGCAATAGATGAGCCCAACGGTGGGCCATCTCTTCATCTCTAGAAGAGTTTAGCCTTCTGCGTGAGCATAGAGCTCAGCTCAGCAGTGACAACTGAGGAGGTTAGCAGAAAGCTAAGTTTAACTATTAGCAACATTTTCTTTCCATTTCTGAAACGCATTGTCAACATTGTAGCTTGCTACAGCCTTGAACCACAGTTTATCCTCACAAGTGTATGCGATTCTGACACCAAACAACACAGCGAGATAACATCTTCAATATGAAACTTTAGCCCACTACTACGAGGTGAATCGTGTTTGACTCCAGCTAACACTGTCTCTACAGACACGTTTGACCTGCATCGATGTGTCTGTCTGAATGGGGTATTGTTCTGCTTGGGATTGGTTAGAGGGTTCATGGACTACCAGAAACAGGAAACTAGAGCCCCGGAATCACTTTCATGAATCTCTGTGTTCCTTCTGCAGGAGAGAAACCATTCTCATGCTTCCACTGCAGCAGAGCTTTTGCTGACCGATCCAACCTGCGAGCTCACCTCCAAACCCACTCTGAAGTGAAAAAGTACCAGTGTTCAAGCTGCTTCAAGACCTTCTCCAGGATCTCACTGTTAGCTAAGCACCAAGAGGCTGGCTGCCCGCTGTCCTGACAGCCTGTTAACGTCAACCTGCTCACAAATACTCTTCTGTAGAGCTTCACTGGTCCACATCAACAGTCTTTGAAACTGGATCTTAAGTGTATATACAAACCAACATGTAAGTGTGCACAATCTTGCACAGATTGAGTGAGCATAAATGGAACCGCCTCAAATTTATGTTGATGTTATTATTTTGCCCTTATTGCCTGGTAACAGTGAAGTTTGAACTTACTAACTGACTAGAACTAGTGCTGAAGTAGCAATTAGCCGACTGAGTATCACATTGAATCACATCAAGATTATTATGTAATAAAGTTGTTTTGTTTCTGCATAAAACTGCTTTTTCTTTGAAATCATTTTAAAGTGAGTGACAAATACCTTAGAAGTTGTGAAAAAACGTTATGCTCTGTTAAAATGCGATGATTTAATAAGATTTAAACGGGTGAGTTATATTAACCGCACCTTATTTCAGGGATCTAACCAAAAATCCATTGAAAATACTTTTCTTGGATCATTCTTTTGGCTTCATTACGGGAACAGGAAGTGTAAAAATAATTCCTGGTTTTAGGATGGTCCTTGATTTGTACTGACAGTAAAAGCATGGATATGTTGGAATGATCACATTTCGCAATCCAATTTGAAGGCACATGTTTAACCATTTTAAATCACTAATCCAAAGTCATAACCAGTTATGACAAAGACTTTGGTAGTAGTTACAACTTTTGACCTATGGCAACTCATGGAAAATACTGCAACGGATAGCATGCTGGTGAATGGTAATAGGGCTACCATGCCAGGTGCCACCTGCCCATAGCACTACCTAACAAGTTCAGGCTCAGATGCGTGTTAGCAGCATCTCCTCTAGAGATTCGAGGTCTCGCATATTGTTTCTGCGTGCCGCACACAGTTTACAGCAAAAGTAGACAGGGAAAAGCTCAAGCTTAACCCTGGGAAACACTGGCTGTTCCTCCTTCATCGATCTCCAAAGGGGAGAAGGCAGGGATGACACACAATGACATGATTGCTGCTGCTGCATTTACAGGTAAAAGTAGATGGTGGCACCTTGCATAGTAGCTTCTGCCATCAGTGTATGAATGTGTGTGAATGGGTGACATGTATTGTCAAAGAGCTTTGAGTGGTTTGAAGACAAGAAAAGCCATTTACCATTTTTTCATTCCAAGGTGACACCTGCAGGTGGCGCTTGGTTACCATTCCCACTTAACTAGATAAAGACCTATCCTTGGTGTCCCCACAACATTTGTCGAAGGGAACACCACTGGAATTGAGTGACGTCCTATGTCGTGTAGTTCACGGATGCTTCCCTGACTGGGGAGGACCGGCTTGGGGAGAGCAGTTGGTGGTGTGTGCCCTCCAGCAGAGGATAGACACATCAACCCATCCTCCGGGACTTCAGACTCCTCATACGGGGCAAGCTCGTGATGGTGAGGACCAACAACCGCACCACAGTGGCCTATATCAACACGGAGAACAGCCTGCATGCCTGTGCAATGAAAGGTGGCTAGGACCTGTGCAATTGAGTCCTTTTGGTGGATAGAGGCACATTTCATACCACTGTTAAAGTGTATGCAGTAAACATTTCTTCCTGCCAGAAGGGTTTTGGCGACAGACTGGTCTTTGGCCACCCTCCAGCAGTTTTTGCAAGGGGTCTGGAGGCAATGCCCAATGATGCATGCCTTCTCCCCAGAGTGGGAACAGCCATTGGTGCTCCAGGCCTTGGTAAAGGGCCCCATTGAATCTCTGGAGCGCTCCTATCTGGCATTGTCATTCTAGACAGTTTTGCTGCTTGAACTGACGTCAGCTAAGAGAGTGTGTGAACTAACTGCCCTGTCGGTGGACTCTGGTTGCTTGCTGCTTTGTGGAGACTGAAGCGGGGCTAGACTTAGACCTTATCCCTCCTTTGTTTCCAAGAACATAAGGAGTTCTTTCAGGGTACGGGTTATACAGCTGGATGCTTTTTGTCTTCCACCTCATGCAGGGTACAAGGAGGCTAAGTCACATCTGCTTTGCCCAGGTTGTGTGTTGGCATGTTATGTTCATTGCACACCCACGTTATAAACTGAACAGCTTCTTGTGTGATTTGGGATGGTGTGATAAAGCCCTATTCAAGAAATGCCTGGTGGGATGACTTTGTGAGTGCCCAAGCCTACAGGCAGGCAGGAAGAGTCCCTTGCACTGTAGTCGGTGCACAGCATAGCTGTTGGGTGGGGTGATATACCATATGTACCGCGGCATTGTGGTGGATGCCTTGTCCTCTCATATGGTTCTATTTCAGCAGGGTGTGGATTTGGGCTCAACCCACTGTACCCATAGTCCAGTCAGGAGAAAAGCCTGTTTGAGTTAGAAGGAAGGTTACGATATTGTAACCCTTAATCTTTATGCACGGGTGGAGCCCTCTACCAAGGGGGCCCTGCGCTCCTACAGCGCTTGCGGAAGAGCATGTAGGATAACAGGCAGCGGTGTGTGCTGCCTTATATACTCTAGGGTCTGCACATATTCGGTTAGGCATGCCCCTGATTGGCTGACTACACTTCCAGTAGAGGATTCTACCTGTGCTTATAGAACTAGGGTTACAATATCGTAACCATCAATTCATCATGACAGATACCGTAAGTCATGGGGAGTAGGCTACTACTGAAGCCTTTGAACTGCGTAGTGTATTTCTTTACTTCAGCATCAGCTACTCTATGAAAATGCATAAAGGTAACGTGTGAATAAGAGTGAATCTATATCTAAATGATCAGTCATCAATTCATTATCAGTCGGCACAGTCTAGGCATATATATATTGTCTTGGTGCAGTTTAATAAAGACATGATCCAAGTTTTCCCACCAGCGGAAAAGATACTTGACTTGATGTCCCAATGCTGCAAACACTTTCCCTGCCCTGCACCTGTAGTATATATGTGAGCACCTGCTGTTTGCCCACCAGAATAGCTCTGCTATGATGTAATGGAATGCTATGAACAGTAACTGTCTGTGGAACAAGATCTAAATATTCCTAACCAGTCAGTCGGGTTCCTTTTCAATTCACACAGATGCTATTCTGACTCCCTGCAGGCCTATAAATACATGGAAAGCTGTTATATTAGGCATGAGGGCAGCTCTCCATCTCACAGTGTGTCAGTAATACAAGACAGCACCACTGGATTTAGCTGCTGTCAAGGCCTATTTTTAGGCGACAATTTTAGGCCAACGGATACAGTAGAAGTGTGTGTGATTATGTTGGTATTTTCCACAGTAAATGTGAGTGTTTGGATAAAGTCCCTCATCACAAGCCTCTGATGCACTGCAAATGACACGGTGTTACACTTGTTACCAAGACATCTGCCAATGTGTGGAATAGAGTTTGTTCTTATTCAATTCAATTTAACACAGGATGAAGAAGGTCAGAGTTCGATGTGTTAGATGAGGGGAAGAAGAGGGAACAGTCAAGGTTGTGTTTAAGAGACATGAATGCTGCCCATTAAAATGTCGCTTTCAATGCATAAGCATATCATTTGAAATATTCAAGGTGTGTAGCTATGCAATGCCTGCATGACATTCATTTTATTTATTTTTATAGTGAGTTTTACCAGGTCAAATAATGGAACTTGTTTTTGTTTTCATTCTCAAGTTTTTATGGAGTATCTCTTGAATAGTCTCAACTCTACTGCTCTGCAGGACACTTACATGCCCACGAACTCCTGAAACAAAAGAAATATACAGAATATTGTTTTTATTAATATCAACATATCCCTTATAAAGATCCAAACCAACAATGTGTGAGTCCATCTGTCAATACCTTCTCTGTCTGTGTCTCTACAAGCTCATTGGTTGCTGTTGAATACGTAAATCTTTCAAAACAATTTGCAAATCATTTTATTTCATTTTAAAGCCCCAGTGACTTCAAACAGCAGGAAATAGTGTGTGGACAGTTTTTACTGCATTAGGTTTAGCACAACAATGGAGCTCTGTGGCCTTGATGCACACTTTACTTGTTAGTAGATACATTCACTGTTGATTTGAGTGTGCACACTTTTAAACCACATGCTCCTCAGGCTTTCCTCAAGCCCAGTCTCTGCTTTCTCAAGTGCTACTTCCCACGACTGAACAAACCTTCATGTGTAACATCAGCGGTTCTCCTTTAATGCAAAGTAAAGGGGCGGGACAAGGAGAAGACAACAGTAATTGCAGATGTGATTTCCAGATGCAAAGTTACAAGAACATTCTGATCATATACTACTGAAAAGTATTGTATAAAACATCTTAGAGGAAATATTATTTTGACTTATTGAAGGTTCTTGAACCGCACAGATCTTGAAGAGAGTTTTAAGTTAGTTCAGGACCGTGATGCAATAGATATGCTCTGAATTTCAAATTGAGCACTTTTAACGAAGTGCTTTGAGTTGCTTAAACATAACCGTAAGAATGTTTATCATACTTTAGTTGCTACAAGCAGATATTGTGTGGGAAAAATGCTGAAATGTGATGTCATGGAGATACACACAGTATGAACATTTTGCAACATTGTTAGTTTTGTTTATGTGAGTGATAAGTGAGAAAAGAGAGGCTGATTTGTTACGGTGGTGTATAGCCAGACAGGAGAGGGAGCTGGATATATGTGTGCAGTGGAAAAGCAGCTCAGTGGGGCGCTAACATTTCCAACTATGCCAAGTCATTACACCCCCTCCCTTTTTACACCACGACTGGAAGCGCGCGTGTGTGTGTGTGTGTGTGTGTGTGTGTGTGTGTGTGTGTGTGTGTGTGTAACATGTTGTTAACCCCTACTACTGTTAAATTCATCTACTAAAGAATTGCATACGACATATTTTCTTACTTCCTCTCCATGTAGATCATTTTGTTTAAGAGATACAATGAGAGAATACAATGGAGGCAGATGGGATTTCATGTGTGGTGCTCACTATAAATAATTCATAAATGATATATCTGGAGAGAAAAATCACAGACATATATCCTAACTCTTGGCCATTTAAACCAAAGCTACCTGCAGAGGGAGATACAACAAGATGGATGGAACCAGCACAGCTGCATCATTTCATTGTTGGCCACTTG